AGAAATTGAACACAGGGGGCTGGGGTTGTGGCTCAGAGGTAGAGCGCTCGCCTAGCACGCGCAAAGCCCTGGGATCGATCAATCCTCAGCACCACATAAAAATCATTAAATAAAATAAAGGTATTATGTTCAACTACAACTAAAAAATAAAATATTAACAAAAATGTAACACAGGGCCTCACACATGCTAGACAATTACTGAGCTACATCCCAGACCTTTTAATTTTATTCTGAGACAGGTTTTTGCTAAATTGTATAGGCTGGCCTTAAACTTGTGATCCTCTTGCCTCAGCCCCCTGAGTAGCTGGGATTATAGGCAAGTAACACTGTACCTGGCTCTAAAGGTTTAAAATTTTATATTTATTTATTTATTATCAGGGATTGAAGTCAGGGGTGCTTAACCACTGAGTCACATCCCCAGCCCTATTTTGTATTTTATTTAGAGACAGGGTCTCACTGAGTTGCTTAACTCCTGGCCTTTGCTGAGGCTGGCTTTGAACTCTCAATCCTCTTGCCTCAGCCTCCGGAGCCACTGGGATTACAGGAGTGCATCACCACGCCCAGCTCCTGTTTATTTTTTGAGACAGGGTCTTGCTAAGTTGATGATGCTGGTTTTGAATTGCCATCCTCCTGCCTCAGTCTGCTGAGCCACTGAGATTACAGGTGTGCGCCACCATTTCCAGCCTCTAAATTCTAAATTTATTAAACAATGAAGTCTCCTGACTCTTTAAATGTTGGCAACTAATTAATTAAACCACTGTGTGGGTCAGAGCATGGGTGCCTGCTGCCAGTGTACAAAGGCTTTGATTAGCCTGTACTGTGTAGCTTCTGTGTCCCTCATTCAAGTTATCTTGGTTAATTGATTTAGTCTTGCCTCCTCCCTTTGTCATTCTCCTGTGTCCTGTGGTGTAAACTCTGGTAATGTGGCTCGCTATCTACTTGTTTTTTCCTTTTTCCATCTTTTTTTTTTTTTTTTGTTGTTGTTGTTGGAGATTGTCTCAACACCTTTATTTTATTTATTTATTTTGCATGCCAGGCGAGCGCGCTACCATTTGAGCCACATCCCCAGCCCCCACTCTCTAGTTCTTAAAGTCTGGCTTTAATACTCAAGTGCCTGCTCAATACCCAAGAGCCCATCAGTGTGGCCTCTACCCACCAACCTCCTCACTTTCCTTCTGATGACTTTGGGACACACTGGGAAGCTTGCCACTTCCAAACAAAACAAGACCCATAGTGCTGGGAATGTGGCTCAATAGTAGAAGTCTTGCCTAGGGTGCATGAGGCCCTGGATTCAATCTTCCTGTTACCACACGCAAACACCCCAAAATACCTGTGACTTTTTTTTTTCAGTACTGGGAATTTGAACCCAGAGTCTTATGCATGCTAAGCAAGCACTCTGCCACTGAGATGTATCTCCCACTGTCCATTTATTTGATTGCTATGGTTTTGCTGTGCTTAGATTACCAAACTCACACCCATATGCACCTTATTATCTCATTTTTTTTCAAGTTATTTTTATTGTAGTAAAATACAATAACTGCCAGGTTTCTGTTCTCACGACTAAAAGGCTCAGGGGTCACTCTAGTTAAACTGGGCTAACTGGGCTGCACAAAATAACCACACAAGAGACACAAATACCTTTTTCTTTGGGGTTGCTGTGACGGCTCCTCTGACCTTAAGGGTCCGCAGAAAGAGAGAGCGCGAGAGCACGCGCTGACCCCTTTTATTGAGGAAAAGCTATTCAAATGAGGCAAGGGGTCGGGTTTCAGGGGGCTGAGTATCTTCATGATATCCACTGTCAGCAGGTTGACTGACACCTGGGTAGGCCACACCCAAGGGCACAGTAAGAGGAGGGGACACACACAAGGCACTTCCATGGAAGATTCTATCCTAAACAGGGCAAGGGGTTATATTACAAAGGAACAGGTGAGCATAGCTTCACCCATGGGGCTGTAGCAAGACACACCCATTTCTGTGATTGAGCGCCTCAGCACCCAGCTGGGGAGTGTAACTCAGTCACCCGTAAGGTTGGCTTCCCACAAATAACATAAAATTTACTATCTTAACTATTTTAAGTGTCTAGTTAGGTAGCATTAAGTATATCACCACCATCCATCTCCAGAGAACTTTTTATATTGCAACAGTGAAACAATCACTTCCCACTCCTCCCCCTGCCCCTGAAACCACCATTCTACTTTCTGTCTCTATGATTTCAACTTGTCTAAGTCAAAGTATGTCTAAATATGAGTGGAACCATACAGTATTTATCTTTTTGTGGCTAGTTTATTTCATTTATCATAATATTCTCAAGGTTCATCTGTGTTGTAGCATATATCAGAACTCCCTTTTTTTAGGCTAAATAATATTCCACTGTATATATTATATGTATTCTATTTTGCTTGTCCGTTCATGACTATAGACACTTGTGTTGCTTCCATATTTTAACCATTGTGAGTAATGCTGTTATGAACATGGGTGTATAAATCTCTTCAAGACCTTTGCTCATCTATTTAATACTCCCTCCATGAAGCCATTTCTCAACCTTCTTAAACTCCATGGCTTTACTAGCCTCTGCTTCTTTTCAACATCTATTTATTGGACACTTAGTATCCACCAGCAGGGTCTGAATTGGGAATACTGAGGTAAAGAAGACCCAGTCCAGGTTTTGAGGAGTCTCACCCAAATGAAAGCAGACACACTGACATGGCTCATCTATTTTTTTTTTTTTTGTACTGGGGATTGAACTCAGGGGCACTTAACTACCGAGCCACATCCCCAGCCCAATTTTGTATTTTATTAGAGACAGGGTTTCACTGAGTTGCCCAGCACTTCATCATTGCTGAGGCTGGCTTTGAACTCATGATCCTCCCCAGTCACTGGACTTACAGGCGTGTGCCACTGTGCCCAGCCTACATGGCTTATCTGTATGCAGCTTGAGCAAGTGGAGAGGACAGCAACGAACTTTCACTGGAGAATCAGGGAAAGGTTTCTGAGCTGGGTCATATATAGAGTAGGAACTTCCCAGGGGCAAAGGGGCATTTGAGATAGAAGGAACTGCTTGTGCAAAAACATGAGCAATGTCATTTGAGTGGGGATGAAGCAGAGGAAGTGATAAGGAGTGGTTTGGGAACCAAATTATCACAGCCTTTGCATCTGTGCTGCATGCATTCCAGAGTGTAAGCTCCAGGGGAGCAAGGCTGTGTCTTGGCCTCCATTGCTTCACACCTGCCACCTGCCTGAGACTGACCTTCCCTTAAACTCTTGTAGGAAGAAATTACACTGGCCAGTAATGCCAAGAGCGCCCCCTAGTGACCTCTGCAAAGCTCCCACCTCCTCCAGCCAGAGCAGACAGAGCCAGGCAACTATTATCCCAGCAGCTGTAACTAGGGATAGCACTTTGTGTAGCATCATTCCACTTGATCTCTACCCCTCCCTGAGAGTATGTTCACTTCAGGCCAACAAACACTTATTAAGTACTTACTCTGTGTTGATCATTGGGTATTCTAGACATTGTTTGAGTCATTAATCACCCTGCTTATAGAGAACCAACAATAATGGGGGCCCAGAAGAGAGATTGAGTCTGGACAGCGGCCTGGAAAAGTATGGGGTTAGGAGGGGAAATACAGCACCCATGAAAATGAACAAAGAGAATGAGCCCCACCCCTGCCATCTACTCAACATTCACTGAATAACTACCATTAACTGAGGTCACAGAGGGTACATGAGGTGCTGGAGATCCAGAGATGACTAAGATGCCATCTGTGACTCCAGGAGCTTACAACCAGCAGGAAGACAGATAGGTAAACAAAAGAAGAGGTGCCCTGTGCTCAGAGTCCTGTTGGCAGATCCAGGAGTGTGGAGCAAAGAGTACCAGCCAGCAGGACCAGTGCGGCAGTGGGAAGTTTTGATCTTAGGCTGGGATGATAAAGGGAAGGTGGTACCTGTGGTCTCACTGAATAGAACAGGTACAATCAAGAGGCATTACCATTGAAAGGTGGCTCATCTGGTGTGCAGGAAGGTTCTGCTTCCTGGTTTGGCTGCTTCTTCAGAGATGTGCACAGTGGTGGAAATTCAGAGTTGAACACCCAGAACTTCACATATGTAGATTCATGTCAATGGCACTTCAGTTGCTTACCAGTAGCCCCCAACCTCTCCTGGAAGACTATACTCTGGGGAATATTTTTTGGGTTTGGATCCAGTCCTCCCACACCAACTCCAGGACCTCAGAATTAACCTTCACTGTCAGTTTCCTTGCCTGTAAAATGGGGGTAATAGCACCTTCACCACAAGGTTGTGCTGAATTGCATATGAAATGTAAAGCACTTCAGTAGTGCTTCCCACCTGCTTCTCTCAACAATGTCAAATTTCTAATGATTGTCAGTGCCTGGCATATAGGAGCTCAAAGTGATTTATTAAATAAATGAGTTAATTGAAAGTGTGACTTTTTTTTCCCCCTCCCCTACCAGGAGATAGTTTGAGCAAACAGAGAAGTGGATTGGCATGGGATAACTCAATTAATGGCTCTTGGGCAGCACAGAACTTGGGAAGGGCTGCATTTGCTTCTGTGGATGGACAGGGAGGCAGACCTAAGTCTGATCAGGTGGATGGAAGGATCAGGGTTGAAGCCTGTGCAACCCTTCTCCCAACCCCCCAGTACACAGGGGGTTAAGACTCGCCCCAGCTACCGAGCAGGCCCAGTGAGAAGCTCCACCAGAAATCATACTACACAGCAGGGCCTTGGCCTCCAGGTGCCCCCTACTTGCATGGCCCTCACCCCTCCCCTCTGGTGGTCAAATTTGGCACTTCTCTCCACCCTGGGGCCAGAGCAGTTTCGGGAGAGGTGGGAAAACCTGCTAAACAGGATGGCCAAAGTCTGAACCAGTTGGACTGGGCGGTCACATCTACCCCTAGCAATCTTATCCCTCTCTTGCCCGCAGAACAGAGGCAGAAACTGTGCAAAACAAATTATTTTATTTAAAAATTTTATTTTTTGAGGTGCTGGGGATTGAATCCAGGGCCTCATGCATGCTAGGCAAGCACTCCACCACTGAGCTACACCCCAGCCTCACAAACCATTTTATCACACTGTGAGTGAATTGGATTTGTGGGAAATTGAGGAGGGGTTGGTGGTGTGATGTCAGAGAGCCCTGGGGTTAGGCACTGGGGATTCAGGGGCTTGTCAAGGGCAGAGCTCAACCTCAAGGGAAAAGGAAGAAAGAAGGCAAAGGAAGACATACCTTCCATTTGTCTTCACTCCTACCCCTAGGGCATTAAATAAACATAAAGCTTTTTTTTAATTTCCCCTCCCCAACACTGGGGATAGAACCCAGGGCCTTGTGCATGCTAAGCATTAAGCACACACTCTAGCACTGATCTATGCCTCCAGCCCCCAAAAGCAATACTTTACAACACTAACTACAATAGAGAAGTCCTTCCTTCCAGCTCTGGACCGTGTAGTGGAAGGGCAGCTGTGGAAGACACTGGGGCCTCCAGCTTCTGACACCATCCCAGGCACCATGGGGTGGGGGCAGGCAGCTTCAACCAGGACCTAAAACTCCAACTTCCTCTGAACCCCTAGGCAGGGCAGGTCCTTCTATGCACAATACTCCTGGTTCAAGGATTTTTTGCTTCTCTCAGACCCTTGTGTTTTCTCAGAAACAACTAGCCTGAGCCCAGAGGCTTCCAAGACAGCTAAAGCCCTGGCTTTTGAGGCAGAATGTGCCAGGAAAACAGGCAGGAGTCTGGTCCCAAAGTTTTCCCCAGTCCAGGCCTCTGTCTTGGTAAGCAGGAAGCAGGGCCTGGTGAGAGATGGCAAGAGCCCCAGGCTCAGAGGGGTCGGGTGGTATGATTATAGACCAGGTGCTCTGTGTCTTCAGTGGTGGAGACAGTGGAGCTGGCAGGGGTGGGTGGTGGGTGATTCAGGTGGTGATGTCTGCGCAAGTCCTGTCTCTGGTTCTTGAAGCACCAATAACCCAGGATGGCTATCACCATGATGATGCAGGTGACCAGGAGTACAGCAACAGCCACTTCCACAGAGCCTGGGGAAGAAGGAGCAGAAAAAGGGGCTCCCAAGCCTTGCCTGGCTATGACACTTACCCCATTCTACCAAGGGAGTCAAGTCAAATAGATGCCAGGTATGGAAGCACATGGGTACTCAACTCATACCTCCAGCATATAAACTGAAGGCAGCTCTGGCAGCTCAGATGGGTTCCAATGGGTCTTAGGTCTTGGCTCTAAGTTACTCTATTACAGATAGCTTGGGAAAAAGACCTGGGACTCTGATTACAGACATCTCCGAATTTCCACACTCCGAATTTCCCTTCCTTGCCCATGACGGGCCTCACTATTTGATCGCAGTAGTCTGTCTCTATAGGTAACCTTAGGATCCTTTTCAACATGGTTTAAGAGTCCACAACCAATCATGTGGAGTTGATCCCTTGAGTTGATATCTATGCATCCACCTTGGCATCAGGACAGACCAGAGCTTACCTACACTGGAGATGGAGCTTTCCCGTCGCAGACCAAACACATCTTTCTCTGCAACATGATGGGGGAGAGAGACCAGTTAGTATTAAGGGCCCTGAGACTCAGCTGCTCCCAGTGCCCCAGCCCCTCTTTGCCATTCTCTCCCATGGCTTGATGGAGGGGTGACCCACTTAGGCCTTGGGACAGAGCTAAGTCTCTTCTTCTTCATCCCACCCAATACATCCCCACCAGCCCCCTCACTGGAGATGCCGTGACAGGACTCGAGACACTGCTGCTCTTCCTCAAAGTTGTTCTTGTTGCCATAACAACCACCATAAGTGAAGCGGGCACAGCGTTCACTGAAAGGGTTGTAGTACCAGCGTGGGATGCTCTCCTGACAGAGTCCTGTGTCTGGCAGGTCCACACAGTGCCCTGGGGGGTGGAGAGCAGGAAAAGCAGTGAGCACACAGAGAATCCCTGCCACCACCCTGCAGGCCCCACGTGGCTTCTGCCTACCACCTCCTGCCTGCCCCATGGGGAGAGCAACTGTGGTTCAGTGAGGATCTGGGAGCCCCAGAAACATCTGGATCTTCTGCAGTTTTGCCAGAGACAAGGAAGACAAAGTCTGAAAATAAGCTTTGGCATAATGGGAAACTACATGGACTTACACAGTTATTTTTCAATTTTCTGTCACTGTAGTTTGCATTTTTTTTTTTAATATTTACTTATTTATTTTTCGGTGGACACAACATCTTTGTTTGTATGTGGTGCTGAGGATCGAACCCGGGCCGCACGCATGCCAGGAGAGCGCGCTACCACTTGAGCCACATCCCCAGCCCCTGTAGTTTGCATTTTTAACAAAGAAAATGGCTCTCAAAGAGGATGGTTCTCAGGGCTGGGGTTGTGGCTCAGAGGTAGAACGTTCGCCTAGCATGTGTGCAGTGCTGGGTTCGACCCTCAGCACCACATATAAATAAAGAAATAAAATAAAGGTATTGTGTCCAACTACATCTGACCCAGTATGTTCATATTATGCACAACTACAACCAAAAAATATATATATTAAAAAAAAAAGAAGATGGTTCTCAGAGTCTGAGCCTTGGCAAGCAATGATGTCCAGCTAAAATTCACTAACATTGTTTATTATATTTATCATAATTTTCAACTTGTAGCAAATTACAGTTGCTTTCCATTTACCTGAAATTCCTTTTTAATACACTGAGTTTAAAAAAAAAAAAAGAAACTGATTAAGTGATCTGCATTGGGCATGGCTAACATTACAAAGCTGTTCAGATAATGGGCGATCATTGAGGTGGGGAAGCATAGTCACAGAAGGGGACCCAGGAGCCAGCCAGAGAACAGGCTGCTCCCCAGGAGAAACCCTCTGCCCTCTAGGGCTTTGGGCCTTAGTCTGGCACATACAATAGGTTCCTCGGGCACTGCCAGGTGGAATGAGGATGGCAGTGCCAGTGTTTGACCTGACCCAGAGGTTCTGGGGAGGATCTCACCTTTGTCACTGAGGAAATGGATACTCTGGAGCTCATCAAAGCCACTGGTGTCTGCAGAGACGAAAAGTCAGAGGCTCAACAAGGGTCTCCCAGGGACACAGGGCAGAGCTGCTGGGACCTCCCTGCCTGCTGCCCACCCCTTTTCCATTCCCCAGGCCTCACATTTTTCACAGGTGGCCTCGTCAGAGCCGTCAGGGCAGTCTGGGGTGTCATCACACTCCAGGAAGCTGTCGATGCAGCAGCCATTACTGCAGCGGAATTGGGTGGAGTGGCAGCTGCCAGAACATACTGGGTCAGGGAAGAACGTGGTAGAGGTGAGGTCAGGCTCAGGCAAACAACAGGTGCCAAGGGTCCATGGTCTGCCTGGCCTTCTCCAACATGATATCCTGATGTGTGCCTATTCTCTCTCCACCAACCCGACTCCTCATACATGTAACCTGGGCAGATTCTGACAGGAAGATGTTGTGTTGGAAGGGGTGGGGTGTTCTATGGTCCTTCCATATTACAAGAGGAGGAATGTGTTGGGCAAAGTTGGCTTGGTCATGGGTATGGAGGAAGACCTGGCACTGTGAGGGAGACAGGGAAAGTAACAACACCTACCTGGATGGTGCCTTTCCATTGAGGGGCCTGGGAGAGAATGGAGAAGTCAGAGAGGCATGGTCAGGTCCCAGCAGATATGAGATGATTGCAGGTGGGGAATAGGAAACTCCCACAGCCCACTCCCTGACTGGTGAAGAAAGACCACCCACCCTGGGTGAAAAGTCAATTAAGCCCCAAAGCTGCCTCTCAAAGGCCCACCTTGCACATCCCGGCAGGCTAGCATACACTCTTCTTCCCGAAGGTAGTTGTTCTTGTTGCCCAAGCAACCTCCATAAGTGAATCTCTTGCAGATTTGTTCTGTGGGGTCATAGTACCAGCGGGGGAAGGAACCCCGGCAGCGGCCCACCTTGTTAGATGCAAGGCAGTAGTCTAGAGGGAGGAGAGCTTGTGAGGGGGAGGCTATGGGACCCATTAGCAGAGGGCGGAAGGCTCCAGGTGCCACCTGCCCACCCTTCCCTCACCTTCCGTCTGCTTGGCAGATAGCACAGTGACTGTGACGTTGGCCTTATTCTCTGGTTGTTCTGAGCCAGTCACTGTCAACTGGAACAGGTATGTGCCTTCCTTGAGTCCCCACAGCTCCACCTGGTCCGGATTATTCCTCTACACATAAGACTGGTCATCAGGCTTGGACACCCCTTAATACCCTTGGGCTGCCCCAGGAACTCCCAGCCACATACCCACCTCCTAGGGACTTGGTGCTAAATTCATCCTCACCTTCTCTCCACCCCACACCACCTGGAGCCACTGGTTAGCCTATTACCCTAGGAGGCTGATGGGGGAGGAGGTCAGGAAGTCGGTCCAATATCTCACCTCTATCCTGACGTCTGTGCCACCCTGCAGTAGATGCCAATCTGTGTTGTCCACATCCTTTAGCACCAGGGGTTCCTGGGGCTGCACCTTCAAGTCTATGCCCACCCAGGCCCTTGGGATCCGGGACCCTGGGGGAAGGTGAAGTAAGATCAACTCTCACTAAATGGACCAGGTATCTCCTGGGGAAGGAAGTAGGGCAGGGGCACTATGGGCCATATCTGGATCAACTTGGAACTTAGCAGCTTGTGTGGGACATGGTAAAAGCTAACAAAACCAGTGTCTTGTTCTCTATTCAGGGACATTATGACTTTAGTATACTGGAGACATTCTTTATGTAGTAAAACCCACTTTCTGTTTCTTACTGAACAGCCTGTGCTGTCTAACCTCATTTGGGAAGTGTGTATGTACTTGGAGGAATGAGCTTGTTCCTCTATAATAAGCAGGTGCTTGTGCTAATTGCTTTAAAGTAACACTTTAAGGTTAAAGTAACACTTTCTTTTAAAGTCAAAAAAGGAAATGTGTAATTAAAATTTATCATGTTTACTCTGCCAGTCTAGACCATGCAAAAGCCTGTCTGGACAGAGGTCTAAAGCAGAGTTCCTGAGAAATAAGGTAGCAGGCCCTGGAACCCCAGGGTGAGTGGCTATGGGAATGAGGTGTCTGTGTCAGCTCTGACAGATTCTACAAGTGGTAGAATCTTAGTGATAGACTCTTAGTGACAGTCTGTGCCTATGGCTTCCTCTATCCAGGATCAAAAGCCAGGGGACAGAGATAAGAACAAAGCATGAGTTCCACTCATTAAATGGTGGCTCCCAAAAGATATGTCCACTGCAAACCCCTGAAACCTACAAATGTGACCTTATTTGGGAAAAGGACATTTGCAGAAGTATGTATGTTACAGATTTCCAGATGAGGTCATCCTGGATTAGTTGGCTAGGCCCCAAATCTAATGACAAGTGTTTTTTTTTAAAGTATATATCTTTATTTTATTTATTTATTTTTATGTGGTGCTGAGGATCGAACCCAGGGTCTCACACGTGCTAGGCAAGCGCTCTACTGCTGAGCCACAAGCCCAGCCTCTCCCCTCCACAAGTGTCCTTTAAGAAACAGAAGAGAAGACAAAATGAAAGAAGAGGCCATGTCAAGACAAGCAGAGACTGGAGTGAGGCAGTCACAAGCCAAAAGACACACGGAGCCACCATAAACTGGAAGAGGTGAGGAAGGATTCTCTGCTGAAATCTTCAGAGACAGTGTGTCTCTGATGACATCTTGATTTTAGACTTTTGACCTCTAGAACTGTGAGAGAATAAATTTGATTTTTTTAAAATCATTTTATTGTTGTTGTTGTATATTTTTTATGTGGTGATGGGGATTGAACCCAGAACCTCATGCATTCATTCATGCTAGGTAAGTGCTTTACCACTGAGCTACATCCACACTCCTAAATTTCTGGGTTGTTTTTTTTTAATATTTATTTTTTAGTTGTAGTTGGACACAATATCTTTATTTATTTTTATGTGGTGCTGAGGATTGAACCCAGGGCCTTGCACATGCTAGGCAAGCGCTCACTGCTGAGCCACAACTCCAGCCCAAAATTTCTGTTGTTTTAAGCCAAACAGTTTATAGTGATTTGTTACAACAGCCCTAGGAAATGAACAAAGTGTCTGGCAGGAATTATAGTCCAGTTGGGCAGATAAAATCCAACAACATGAAGCAGTATATGTACAAGACAAGGCAGAGGACACTGTGAGAATGGAGATAGGCCAGAGGAAGGAAGGCATTCTGGAGAAGGGAAGAAGAATTTTTAAATCTTTTTTGTTGCTGACGACAATAGAAAACAAGAGTGAGGAGCTAGGAATCTGCAAGGCTGGTTCAATGGGCAATAAGGAAATCAGCCAGTCTGGCACAAACCTCAAAGAGCTGCAGAATGCCAGGCAAGAGTGTTTGTTCACAACAGAAGTAATATTCAAATATTAAACAACTGGTGATACAGGAAGGGGACAGATGTTGGCTGTGAGCAGTGGGGCAAAGTCCTGGAGGCTTTTGCATTACCAGACTCTGACCTCTGAGATTCCTGATGGAGGCCCAGGAGTCCTAAGGGAGGGGCTAGGACTCAGCAGAGAGCTCCTGCTCTGGGCAGTACTTGTTCACACATATGTTTGGAAAGGTTCTGTGCAGCAAGGAGGGTGACAGGTGGACCAGGGCAGTGGTCAGGGCAAGTTCAACAGGAAGGGTCTGAATCACAAAGCAGTCAAGAAAATGGAAAGAAGGATGTAAGAAACTGGTGGGCAGACACTTCAGGCTTCTCACGAAAGGCTCTGGGAACTCAGGAGGAAGAGCCAGGGCACACATGGAAGGGAAACTAGATTTAGAGGGAACCTGTGTGTTCACTCACAGAGAAGCTGAACTTGAGGCAAGAAAGATCCACCAGAAACAGCAGGCAGTGGCAGATATGTGTGGGCTTTCCAGAGGCCAGGGCTGGAGACAGAAAGGAGGTGTATTTACCAACAAAGCTGATGCCTTGCTGGGTACATTGAGAATGTGACTGCCATCACACTGAGTACCTATCTGCATTACCTATATCAGGGGTCAGCACACTGTGGCCTGTGGGCCAAATTCATCCCACCATCTGTTATATTTTGAAATGGATAAAGAAAAAAAGTATACAACATTAAAATTTGTGGGGCTACTGAGATGTAGCGTAGTAGCAGACTGCTTGCTGAGGATGCATGAAACCCTGGGTTCGATTCCTAGCACTGGGGGAAAAAAAAGTGTGCCTGTAAGTTGGAGCACAACTTTGCCCCTGTCCTTACATATTGTCTAGGGCTGCTTTCACATGACAACAGCAGAGTGGTTACAATAGAGACCTTATTTCACACAAAGCTTAAAATATTTACTATTTTGACCTTTAAAGAAAAAAGTTTGTTTACTATCATAAAATGTTCTTTCATTTACCTAGAATAATCTCATTATTCCAAATAAAATGAATTCTATATTGGAAAAAAAAATGGAGGAGCTGGGGTTGTGGCTCAGTGGTAGAGCACTTGCCTGGCATGTGTGAGGCACTGGGTTCAATTCTCAGCACCACATATAAATGAATGAACAAAGTAAAGGCCCATTTTTTAAAAAATAAAGGAATCTCTTTTTTTTTTTTTTTTTTTAAAAAGGAAGAACTTGTTTACTCCAACCTGAGAGGTTAATAACTTGCCCAGGGTCATGGCTCAGTTTGTTTGTTTTTTTTTTAAGTGAAACCAGGGGTCTTGTGCATGCTAGGCAAGTACTCTGTCAATGAGCCACATCCCCAGCACTTCTGGCTCAGTTTTTAAATGGCAAAGCTGGGATTTGAACTGACTCCAGAGCTCATGTCTTCTCCAAAATGTCACACTATAGGTCATCATCTGCTTAGAGGTGTGATTTTTGTTGTTTTAAAATCCTGAGTTTTTGTTTTGTAGTCTAAATAATACATGTATATTAAATTAAAAAGGGAGGTGAAAATTAATTAGCCTCTTTTCCTTAACACCCCAAATTCCTTACACCAAAGGCATCTACCAGTTTGTGTGTAATGAATATAGTATTTTAATTCACAGCTTTCTTTCCTTCTTTCCTAAACCATGCTGTCTTGGGGTTTATTATTATTCCAACAGCATCACAGGATTCAATTAGAGGATGTGTTGACAGACACTGAAATTGTTTCCAATTCTTCATTATTATAAACAATACTACAATGAATAACTGTCTGTCAAGCTGTTGTATACATGTGTAAATCGAGCAGCAAAATGAATTCCTACAAGTAGGATTGTGTCAATGATGACAGCATCTACAGTTCTGATACTGCCCTCCATGGAGGCTCTAAAGAGGGTCACTTCAGGTATAAGAGTGAGTGTGGGGGCTGGGATAGTGGCTTAGTGGTAGAGTGCTCAGCATGCATGAGGCACTGGGTTCAATCCTCTGCACCATATAAAAACAAACTAATGTATCCACCTAAAACTAAAGATACATAAATAAATAAATATTAAAAAAAAAAAAGAGTGAGTGTGTATATGAGCTGGGGTTGCGGCTCAGAGTTAGAGCGCTTGCCTAGCATGTGTGAGGCCCTGGGTTTGATTCTCAGCACCGCATATAAATAAATAAAATAAAGGTCCATTGATAACTAAAAAAATATTGAAAGAAAAGAAAATTTAACAACAAAAAAAAGAGTGAGTGAGTGCAAAGCAAGAAGAAAAGGTAAAGTCAGGTGTGGTGGAACACACCTGTAATTCCAGGAGGATCACAAGTTTGTGGCCCACCTCAGCAACTTAGCAATAATTTTTTTTTTTTTTTTTTTAGGAGTGGGGATCTAGCTCACTGGTATAGTGCCCTTGGGGCCCAGTCCCCAGTTTAAAAAAATTAAAAAAAAAAAGTTTAGGAGATGAGGGCAGCTGGTAGAAGGCCAAGTCACAGGATTCTTCCTTAATGAGGCAGAGAAAGCAGAGCCAATGGGGCAATGGGGAAGCTCACAGAATTGGTCACAGAGAAGAGACCCAGGACACATGGAGACAGCAGAGGGATGGAAGGGAAGAGGTTTCACAGGGAAACATGTCAAAAGTTATGGATACCTACAAAACTGAGAAAACATACTGGATTTAAGGAGTTTAGAAAAAAGAGAGTAGAAAAATGTCTGGAAGTAACCCTGGCTCAGTGGTGATCAGGAAAAGAGGCTGAGAGATGAAATAAGAGGGCAGTGAACTGGAGGAGCCACCGCCTTGCATTTTGTAGAAAATGAAAGAAAATAGACTACTTAGAAGCCTACCTAGCAAACAAGAGATTATAGGCCTCAAGCCCAGCCCCCTAGGTCAAAGTGGCAAGGAGAGAGATGCCAGACCTTGAATAGAATTAAGAACTTCCTACCCACAACTTGCTAAGCCCCAGGTCCCAGGACAAGGGCCGATGCCCTGCCCTACCACTCCTTTGTTCCCATCCCCAAGAGACCAAAGGCTAGACTGGCAATAAAACCAGCCCTCCCCCAGCTGCCAAGCTCCAGGACATCTCCAGGGAAACACAGATTCCACCTCCTAAACCACTCTGCCATAGGAAAGATGGGGGAGGGCAGGAGCAGGGGAGAGGAGGGACAAACTCCTTGGCCTCCAGCTGTAGGAATCTGGACTGGACTGGCCTGGCCACAGGCAGGGAAGAGAAAACAAATCAACCCTTTTCAACAGGATTTCTCTACCAAGTATAAGAATCAAAGATTTAGGACTGGGGATATGACTCAGTGGTAGAGTACTTGCCTGGCATGTGTGAGAGTCTTGGGTTCAATTCCCAGTACCAGAAAAAAAAAAAAAAAAAAAAAGTTCAGAAGCCCTGACTACCCAGTCTATTTTGGCTGCTTCTGTCTGCTCTAGCCTCCAGTTTACCAGCCAGACTTAGCCAACAGTGGAGCCCTTGACATACACAGCTTCCCCCAGTTTCCAAGGCAGAACCCTGAAAATAGTCTACAATGTCCTGGGGCTCACTTGTAGTCCAAGTCCTACCCAACTTTTTACATGCCCCAGGAAATCCCCACTCTAGCCTACCTTGTGCCAAGTAGGCCAGTCCTTGGGGGTTTCCAGATGAGAAAGGCTGAGCCCAAGACCAGGTGACCCTTATCCAGTTCACCTTCCTGACCAGACTTCAGAGATCTGGCTCTGACCCTCGGTGGGCCTCCTACAGGGCCTATGTCAGAGCAGGAAGGGCACTGACAATCAATTAGAGTCACTGCCACCTACACTATCTATTGCTTCCTTGTGGAACAGGCTCCAGTTCTGGCCCAGTGGGACCTCAGAGTTCAGCTTAGACCATAGATATTGACCCCCATTTCACAGAATTCCCATCTCACTTCTCCTCAGAGACACAAAAGAGCTACTGGGAGACCTGGAAGAGGTACTAGCCCTAGAAAAGGCTGGAGAGGAAAGTCCTTTGTCTACTTTCCACACTGAGCTCACCTCTGACTCAGCCCCAGCCCGTCCTGGCCACTGGACTCCCCAGTCTTTGCTTTTGTTATCTGTTGGCTATCTTGGGTCAGAATGCTAGGTTTCTACTGGAACGGTCGTCTCATGTGAAAAAAGAACCCAGGACTTTTGGAGGTCTCCCTGCGTGAGTCCTTAAGTTTACAATTTATGGACATTATGGTGGGGTGGGGGCTCAGTTTTCTAATCTAAAAAGCAGTTGACCAACAACAGCATCCTTTTCAGAATGAGGCCTGCAGGATGAATGGCACAGAATTCAGTAATGGTTATCTGTTTATGACCCACTTTTGTCCTGGAGCCCTACCTGGCCAGAGAGCAGGTGAAGAAAATGAGGAGGAAAGGTTTTTGACCAGTCTTGATCTCACTCCCTACTGCTCAGTTGGAGGAAGAAGGAGGAGTTTTGACCCCCATTTTGCCCCTATCCGTGGAAGTAAACAAGGTGAGCAGACAGCTCTGCTACCATTTCCTAAGCAAGGAGAGCCCTGCTTGGTTCACATGGGTGAGTGCATGCACACATACATACACACACACACACACACACACACACACACACCTGCATGAACAGGTGACATCCTTCCCCTACCAGGTATACATACCACTGGGCTGACTCACCCAGCAACCTTCCTCATCCCCCACCCCAGAGCCTCTGGGCTATTGTGCCCCCAACACCACCTCTCTTGGAGTCAATCCCAGACAGGGCTTCTTCCTTAGTCTCTTGGGGTCTGCCTTTCCCCTCCAGATCAACAAAAGGCCAATCTGTTCTCAGGTGTACAGAGATGTCAATCAGCTCAACATCCAGCCAGTGGAGGAGACTAGCCAGGCTCACTTGCCAAGGACTCAAGGTGCCTAGGACAGTGGTTGGCCAGGGTACATTTCTAGTCACCAGGCTGCATCCAGACACCTAATAATTTGACTCAGCCTATGAGGGTCAGAGGTTGTGAAGCCTGGAAAGTTGTCTCTTCTCTCCCATACACACAGCCCAAGGCCAGGCTTCCCTTGGGTGCCAGATCATCACCTCTGAACATTCTGAATTCAAGAGCCAGTGCCTGGGCTCTGGAATGTCCCCCATACCCACTCATACCATCTTTCTTTTGTTCACTGGTTATAGTTCCTCCTGGAGGAATCGGGTGGAATTGGATTTTCCTCCCTAACTTCTTTCTGATGCTTGGTTCCCTCGGGACCATAGTTAGTTCCCTTTGGACCATAGTTAGTTCCCTTTTGAGCCTCTCCAGATCCATCCATGCCCGCCATCTCTGCCTCCTCCTTTTTACCTCCAAAGCCCTGGGTCCGAAGCTCGTGGTACGAGTGGTAAACCTCTCTTGTGAGGTAGTTGATGAAGCCCTCTCTGCGCGCGAACTTGCACACAAAGTTGTGCTCGTAGAGGCAATTCATGAGGAAGCAGGCGGTGATGGCGTCCTCGCCGCCGTCGGGCTGCAGTTCCACCAGCGCCAGGTTGCAATTCTGGGTGGTGCAACAGGAGCGCACGCAATCCCAGCCCCGGCGCACGGTGGGGGAACCCAGAAAGGTGGCCCCGTTGCTGACCGAGGCTTCCGTGTCCAGCACGAAGGCAGGAACCCCCGGAGTGAAGAGGTTCAGGCAGGCAGTTCCCGCCGGCAGCTCAGGGGGTGCGGGAGGCAGCCCGGACTCAGTGATCTGGAGACCCAGCACGCACAGAAGCAACACCTCAAGGACCACAGGGATGCCGGCTTGGGCAAGGCGAGCGCCGGCCATCATCCTCCCAGGGGCCGTCGCCCTCTTCCCCAGGGGGGGGGGGTTAACCTTCACAGTGCGAGCCTCTGGGTTCTGAGGGTACTTGTGACCTGAGAGAAGGGAGGGGACAGAGGAGACACGCCTGATCAGCCTGGGTGGGAGACTTCGAGGGAGGCGGGCAGGCAGGCAGGAAGTCGGGGTGCGGGGACACGGAACACCCCGCAGTGAAGAGGGGCACGCGGGCCCGACCTCCCCCACACACTCTAGTGACCTGGTCGCCCGACGGACGGACACACAAACTGCTAAGAAGCTCACGTACCCGGACGCACGTACAGGTGCCAAACAAACGGCCAAACATGCTCCGAGCCCGCTCCGCCTCCGCCTCCGCCTCGCGCTCCAGGGCCTCGGTTACCTGGGCAGGTGAGTGGGGTGGGGCCTGGCCTGCCGAGGATCCGGGCCCAGTTTCCTGCGCGGCTCAGGCCGCGGCTTCTGCCGGGGTGCCGAGTGCTCTCGGGATCTGCCACCGCCACCCCCTAGTTTCTGGTGAAACTGAGTCAGCGCGGCCGGGGCGGAGCGGACATTAACTCCTGCGTCGCCGGCCCCGCCCACGCCGGTGCACCCCCACCCGCCCGTCCCAGCCGAACTTCCGGCCCCGCCAGCTCCGCCAGCCCCGCGGCCCTGGGACCTCAGCCTCCCCGGGAGCTGCCAGGTTTTCAGAGCTCTTGGAGAGGGGAGCCGCGTCCCCACGAGGTAGCTCTAGGCGACCCCCACAGGGTCCAGCCTCCGGAGGGGCCCAGCGCCCCAGAACTGCATCCCGAACTCCGAAGGCCAACGCAGGTTCGGGACGCTGCAGCAAAGTCGCAAAAGTCGGGCGCTCTGGGACTGCTGCCTCTTGTCTCCCTTTCAGGTCAGAGCCAGCATCACCAGCCCCAGATTGTGAAGCAATTGGGTAGGGACTGGAGAAGAAGTGGGGAAAAGGATGATGCAAACGAATCTTGCTTAGCCAACCCCCTAGGTCATCATTTCCATCTCCTGACGGGAAGAGAACCCAGAAGCTGGGTGGCTGCACCTGTGATAACGGGGATCCGGGGTTTCTGCTCCAGTGTCATCACCCTTGCCAGTTCCTGGCAGTCATCCTTTCTGCCAGAATGAAAAACCAAGGCGATTCCCCTCGTCCAGACTTCTCCGTTTGACCACAGTGGTTCCCTTTCGTTTGAGACCTTTCCTCAACTTGTATTTTTCTTTATGGTCTCTCATCCCTCATCCATGGCTGCTCCCTTATCTGAAGCTCAGATTCCTCTACCCTCCCACAAAGGGGTTGTTCCAGGTCAGCAGCTGACCACTCTGTTCCAGTGAAGTGTCATCCATGGAAGCTCAAAGGACCCAGTTTACAGGTGTAGGTGATTTAATGTCCTTCACAAAACCGTGGCCTCCTGGAAGCCAAGTTCATTGCCCTTCCTAAGTGAAAAACTCTTAAAAGACCATTCTCTACACAACAGGATTAGTCATATTAATGCTTTCCCCCCAAAAAAAGAGATCACATCTATTCATGATATCTTTAGGAACCCCTGACCCAATGGGAACATTTTTCCCCATTTCTCATACAGAGCAGCTTTACCTAGTAGGACTTGTAGCCAAGGATCATTTTCCTTCATGAACAACAACATTTACCAACTGCCCACATTATGGGCATTGGGGTTGGGAGCTGGGGTATGTCTTCTCTTTGGATTTTCAGGGGTGTTCCATATCCCCTGGCATAGTGGTGGCCATGATGGTAAGTTAGGAAAGAAGCAAATGATTGTGGTGCAGCTACTGAGAAGAAAAGTTTTTGTCAAGATCTGATTCCAGAAGTTTATACGTCAAGAATCCTGATACAGGAGAGTATTAACATATAGTGATATTACATTACCAGAAATTTGTCATTATACCCACTATACACACCATTACAAAAACCTGCATTTATCAAGCACTGGGAATGCTCTAACCCTATTCCCAAGTGCTTCCCACACATTACCCATTAAGATCAAATCAAACCAAGGAAGTCATTACTCTTTTTATTCCCATTCTTATGGATGAGTAAATAGGCTCAGATAAGTGAACTAATTTGTCAGATTATCCAGCAGTTAAGTGGCAGAGAAAAGATAGGAGCCCAGATAAGCCCACCTTACTCCCACACTTTAACATTGGGCTTATGATACTTGCAATTCTACCTTTATCTGAAAAATTTACCCTCACCTCAGATTCAATTAGCCTGAAACAAAACATTTTGAAGTGGTAAGCAGCCACCATTTGTGATGCCTGCTGTTATGATTTGTCCCCTCTGAAATTCATGTTGAAATCTGCCATGGTGGCAGTGTTGGGAGATGGAGACTTTAAGAGATGATTAGGTCATTAAGAGGGATTAATGCCTTTCTTAGGGACTGTGTCAATTCTTGATGGACTGGATTAGTTACCATGAGAGCAGGTTGTCAAAAGTGTGAGGCTGTGCTGGGTGTGGTGGCACACGCCTATAATCCCAGTGGCTCTGGAGGCTGAAACAGGAGGATCATGAGTTCAAAGCCAGACTCAGCAATGGTGAGGCACTAAGCAACTCCGTGACACCCCATCTCTAAATAAAACATAAAATAGGGCTGTGGATGTGGCTCAGTGGTTGAGTGTCCCTGAGTTGAATCCCCAGTAACAACAACATAAAAAAAAAAAAGTGTGAGGCTGCCTCTTGTTTTGTGTCTACTGCACATGCCCACCTGCCTTTCTACTTTTCCTCCATTGTTATGATATTGCATAAGCCCCTCACTGGATCTGAGCTCCAGATCTTGGACTTTTAACCTCTGGAACCATGAACTAAATAAACTCCTTTATAAATTACTTAGTTTCAGGTATTCTGTGAAGTAGCAGAAAATGGACACCTACTGTGTTCTTTCCAGGCACTTGACATGTATGATTCATGCTCTGGCAACACTTACTATTCTTACCATACACAGAAGTTCCATAATTATTGAGGTCCCATAGTGAAGAGCGGGAAATAAGATTACATGTGGGGCTGGGGATGTGGCTCAAGCGGTAGCGCGCTTGCCTGGCATGCGTGCAGCCCGGGTTCGATCCTCAGCACCACATACAAACAAAGATGTTGTGTCTGCCGAAAACTAAAAAATAAATATTAAAAAATTAAAAAAAAAAAGATTACATGTGGTTGAGCAGTGGGCTTCATATTTAGATTTTGATGTTTATTTTATTTGGGGGGGGGATGGATACTGGGGATCTAACCCAGAAGGGTTTTACCATTCATCTACATCCCCAGCCTTCATTTTAAGACAGGCTCTCACTAAATTGCTTAGGGCCTTGCTAAATTGCTGAGGCTGGCCTTGAGTTTGCTATCCTGCTGCCTCAGTTTCCTGAGCCACTGGGATTACAGACATGTACCACTATGCCAGGCTACACTATTGTGTTTAATTGTTTCATCTGCCACTTACTCTCCTCCTAAGAGGTGGAGTCTATTTCCCTTCTCTTTGACTCACACTGCTTGCTTTGGCCAATAGGACATAGCAGAAATGGTGCCATGTGACTTCTAGACTTCTAGGCTATGGTTTCTAACTTTCCCTCTTAGAGTCAGTAGTGACATACAGAAATTTGAGTACTTTGCAGAAAAGAGAGTCACCTGAAGAGGAAAGGGCCATGAGGATGAAGGACCGAAGGAAATGAGAGAAGCCTGACTGGTTCCCAGTGTCCTCCTACCCCCAGCCAAGGAGCTGGGTGAAGCTGTCTTGCATCTTCTGCCCCAGTAAGTCCCCTCAGCAGAGACTAGCTGGTCCTGCCAAGCCTTGCCTAAGTTGCAGAATTGTGAGCAAGTAAATGGCTGTTTCCGTTTTAACTTTTTGAATATCTGGGTGGTTTAATGCCAATAATAAGGGAAACAGAAGGATAACAATTACAAAATGAATTTTACTGTTAATAATAAAAGTAAATAAAAGTCCACTAATTATATTGCAGAAACAATGATTTTTAAAAATATTTATTTTTTAGTTGTACATGGACACAATAGCTTTATTTTATTTGTTTATTTTTATGTGATGTTGAGGAACGAACCCAGGACTTCGCATATACTAGGTGAGCACTCTACCCCTGAGCCACAATCCCAGAAACAATGATTTTTTGTTGAGGAATTTTGAGGGGGAAGTAATGCAATACTTTTGAAGATTAGGCCACTATCAGTTTTATTTAAAGGGGGATAGGATAGACCCTCTCAGATACTGCAGCAGCCCTTAAATGGATATTTTTGAAGAATTCTAATGTTGAAAGTGCCCACGATTTTCTATTGTAGGTACCCTCTAACTAGCTACCAGTGATCTATACCTCCAGGTATTCACACTCTTGTGTAATCTTTTCTCTTTCAGTGTGTCTGGATCTGGTCACTTGCTTCTAATGACTAGAATATAGCCAAAGTTATGGGATGTCACCTCCCTAGATTACAAAAGACTGCAATTCCTTCTTTCTCTCCCTCCCTTTCTCCTTCTCTGGTCTAATGTAATAGACATGCCTCATCCTAAATAGCATTCTAGAGAAGTCCACATGACAAGAAACCCATGTCTTTAGCCAATAGCATCTGGAACTCAAGACCTGCCGACACCCATGTAAGTGAGCTTAGAAGTAGGTCCTCCTACAGTTGCATCTTAAAATGATTACAGGCCCGGCTGACACCTCGACTGCAGCCTTATGAGAATTCCTGAGCCAGAGGACCCAGCTGAGGGAGCTAATCCCAGAATCTTCACCTACCCAAACAGTGATATAACAAATGCTTATTGTTTAAAGTTGATATATTTTAGGATGATTTGTTATACAGCAAGAGATAACTGCTGCCCTTATTAACTGAAAATAGTATAGAATTTCAAACTATATACAGTTTACTTGACAACCAATATATCCATAAATACCAACCCCCCCACAGTTTTGCATATCCTATGACATTGTAGTTCCACCTCTATAAATTTCTATTAAGGGAAATAAATCATTAATGTGAGCAAAGAAAGTTACAAGAATGTTCCAAACAGCACTGTTCATAATGGAAAATTAGTAGCAATCTATATGTCTAATAACAGTGATTGAGTGACTAAATCATCAAGTTGTTCTACAAAAACATGTTGGAATCCATTAGTGAATCTTAATAAAGTGGGGCCAGGGATATAGCTCAGTTAGTAGAGTGCTTGCCTCCTATGCATAAGGCAATGGGTTCAATCCCCAGGTTCAATAAGACCTTGTTTCTAAATAAAATAGAAAAAAGGGCTGGGGATGTGCCCCTGAGTTCAATATAAGTAACTAAATAAAGTGGATTGTCACTAATTCACTTTTTATTTGAAAAAATAAAAATGGAATAGAATTTCTCAGAGGATGATGTACAATCAATCAATAAATACATGAAAAAATGTTCAT